GCCGAAGGGGGCGCCCATCCGCAGCTGCCGAAACAGCCAGCCAAGCGAACCAATCACCGACTCGGCGTAGCTCTGCCCCTCGTCCGTAGCCAAAGCCTTGACCTGCTTCGCGCGGGCTGGCAGTAGCTCGATGCCCTCCATAGCGTCCACGAAATTGGCCATGCCGATCTTAATAAAAGTCCGAAACCTGGTCCACGCCTTCCCCGCAGCATCTGAATGGTGGCTTATCCTCCGTCAACAACATCACCTTCTTCAGCTCGTCGGTCGCGCCCTTGAACAGCTTGCTCTTCGGGTCTCCAGTCGCGGAGAGGTCGTCTACGCAGGCGCCGACAAGGCCGACCAGCTTGCCGTTCTCGAAGAGTAGAAAGAAGGCGCGCTCCAAGCGGCTCTCTTGCCACGAGTTGCCACGAAGAGTCCTGCGTAGCTTCCTCCACCACTTCCTTCCAGCGCCCACGGTGCCGTAGATCGCGCCGCGGCAGATAAACAGCGACCCTTCCGGCGCGGCGGGTGGCAAGAAGGAAGGTGGGCGTAGCGCCAGCATCTGGTCGACGTCGTCACCTTGAAGATAGGCACTCGTCGCATCCAGCTTGGACAGTGGCCAATGCTTCCGCGCCGCCATGCCGCGGATCAGGTGGAAGACCAGGAGCGAAGAGGTCGGGGAGACCGTTCGCACGCGCGCCGACTCATAGCAGCCGGCCGCCACCAGTCTCGACTTCGCCTCCATCCCAAGCTTCGGGTCAAACTCGTTATTGTTGGTACGTGCCCACCTCGATAGGACGGGTTTGACCTTCTTGAGAAGCTCCTTCGCGTCGTCGCCCGAGAGCACGGTGACCGCCCTGAAGTTCTTCCAGTTGTCCCACTCCTTGGCCGTGCTCGCATCGAACAGGGCCCTGTCCGCCCCGCTGAGCCTCGCGAGGATCAACTCCTTGCTCCGAGACCTCCCCGTCAGCCATGCGTGTCTGATCCACGCGCGGTAGAAGTCGTCCGTGGCGTTCTCGGCAAGGAAGGCGCTGCCAGCGATGGGGCCCGGCCTAGAACGCCTCGAAGTGGCCCTCTGAGGGTCATAAACAGGCGAAGGCTCGAGTGGCTCCCTCGGAGCGGCAAGATGATCAACGATTCCGCCTTCATTGTTCGCAGTAACCAAGGCAGCACCATCATCGGTATGACGTTCAGTCGCCATTTCTTGCTCAGGAAGCCTTTCATGGGCTGGTTCCAGCTCCTGAGCCTCTCCTCCGCGGCCTGGGCCCTCTGGTGTGAGGTCCTCGCCGGGATATGCCTCCGACGGGCCCGTGCTCGGGACAAGAAGGGGCGGCTGGGCCTCCTCCGACCGGTCGCGGTAGATGCTCTGGCCCCGCGCCCCGCCAGTCGTAGGCTGCGTGCTCGGCACCGACCGCGAGGCCGTAGCGGTGGCATGTGGCACCGCGGGAGAACGAACTGGTCGCGAATCACCCGCAGGAAGCTCTGGGGCTCCTTCTTCAAGGCCTTCACGACGAACGTCGAGAAATCCCCTGGGCCCTCTTGGAAGAGCTGCTCCCTGTTGATCAGCCGGCATACGGTCCCGGGTGATGAGCTCGTCCTCCGTCGCGAACCTCAGCTGCTCGGGCCTTGCCAGAACCGTGCCGCCTCCATGCCGTGGCCAGATCGCGCGAGGGCTGCCCTGAACGGCCGCTGGCCGCAGGGTTGCCTCAATCCCGTCCGCCATCTTGTCGAGGCCCCGGAAGTCGCGGCCGATCACGCGAGCGATGCCGAACCACCGCCAGAATAGAGCTGGTGACCCTCCTGGTCGGACATGTGTGCGTCTGAAGTACACGTGCGACCCCACAGGGCATGGCCCCCTCGTAGGCGTCGGTCTCGCCAGCTTCGCTCTCCTCACGCGGCTGCCGCTGTCCATCTTCACGAAGGCGATCTTGGCGGACTCGCGCCGCAGCAGTGCGGCTGCCATTGCGGACTCTGGGCCAAGCGCGGCCTCGTGGACGTTCAGCTTATCCGACTCGCCATCCTGTCAGACGGATCCTGGAATGCGTAGTCCACGAGTCCCGAGCGCGCAGTTCGCTGGCGACTTGCTGTCGTAGAGCACCGACTCGTTGCGAACCTTGTTGGCCACCGCGCGCACGGTCCTCAGGTCCTTGTCCCTCGTGATCTGGGCGTCCTGCGCCACTCGATGAAACGCATCCTTCCAGATGCCTCCCATCCGCTAGATGCGGCCCATCTGCTCGTGAGCCTCCAGCGCCGCATTCTCTGTCTCGACCCCGTTCTCGAATATATATATATATATATATATATATGTATATATGGGCAAGGAACTCATTGCCGAACTCCTCGCCGCAGCCCACGAAGGTGGACTGCGGCACACTGGCCCAGCTGGCCCAGACGATGAGGAATGTGTCCAGTGCGACCTTGGCCGAGGGCGCGGAGGCACCCTGGCGCAGGCACCAGGGCCACCTGGAACCGCGTGCCGTCGCACGTGATGCCCAGGAACGCGCGGGCATTGCCTTCGGCGTCGTGGCCGAACAGGGTATCCAGCATCGCGTGGAAATTGAACTGATAGCGGCCCGGCATCCTCACCGGGCGGACGTGCTTCGCCCTGCCACGTCGCCGCAGGCGTCGCATCTGAAATCCCACGCGGCCACGATGACCCCCTCTTGGTCCCGAGCGGCGCAGGCGCCGCGCCAATGTCACATTCGCAGGGTGCCGAAGTTCACGCGCAGGTTGCGCGTATTTCGCCTGGCGCAGGGGTCGAAGGAGAGCCGCCGCGCGCGCTTCTCTCTCTCTCTCTATCTATCTCTCTCTTTCTCTTTTTTTTTTTTTTTTTTTCTTTCTCTCTCTCTCTCTCTCTCTCTCTCTCTCT